AACCATACAGGATGCTGAAACTTCCAAGAAGTAGCATGTAAGATTTGCAATTGTACCTCAATGACATGGATTGTTGATCACAATACCAATCACGGGATTGTCAGGCCCAGCCTTGATTATTTTTAATCGCTGCCATCACATAGCTGCAATATTGCTGTGTGTGGCATTAAACAATGAAAACCATACAGGATGCTGAAACTTCCAAGACGTAGCATGTAAGATTTGCAATTGTACCTCGATGACATGGATTGTTGATCACAATACCAATCACGGGATTGTCTGACCCAGCCTTGATTATTTAATGGCTGCCATCATATAGCTGGAGATTTGACCTGCAATGTATTGTTACAGTAAAATGCTGAAGTAAACTTTGTTGTGTCAATTTGTACTATTTAAGAGGTTAGAGTTTAAGGATGCACAGTTGAAGTCAATGCACACTCTAAGACAGTCGCGATATAACTGGAATACTGTTAAAAGCAGCTTTAAACCAAACTCACTCACTCACCCTAAGATACACAATAACAGAAAGAATGAATGTCGAGTGAGTGTTGTTTTACACCGCTTTTAGCAATATTCCAGGAATATCAAAGCATTTGGACATCAGAAATGGTCTACACACATTGTACTTATGTGGAGAGTCAAACCAGGTATCTGGCGTGACGAGTGAACGCTTTAATCACTAGGCAACCTCACCGCCCCTTCACTCCCTAAAATACATAACAGAATTAAATGTGTTCACTTTCTAGTAAGTGATTTTCTGGTCCATACTTGATGATTTGCTCATAGGGTCCGAAGAATCCAGGTGAGCTTATGCCATACCGTGGCATCCGTCGTCAGTCCGTCAACAATTTATTTAATTACTACTTCTGAACCACTAATTGGAAATTAACGAAATTTGACAGGAAGCATCCCTAGGTAGTGGGGATTCAAAATTGTACAAATGGTGGGGCTGAGGGGTGGGGCCACATAGGGGTAAATTGGCTATATTGCTTTAAACAACTTCTTCTCTGAACTAAGAGGTAGATATCAACCATATTTGTTTGGAAGCATTCTCCGGTAGTGAATATTCAAAATTGTACAAATGGAAGGGCTGATCACCCTCCAAGGAGCTGAGGGGCGGGGTGAAATAGAGGTAATTTGGTGTTATTGCTTTAACAACTTCCTCTCGAACCAATAGTTATCTACAATATTTGGTTAGAAGCATTCTCCAATGGTGGGGATTCCAATTGGAGAAATGAAGGGGCTGAACCCTACCCCCCCAACTCCGAGGATTAAGGGATGGGGATAAAAACGGTTTATAACTTGGATACAGTTAAGATCCCCATCGTATAAACTTATGTACAATTGTGTTTGTTTGTTTGTTTGTTCTTTAACGCCGCACTCAGCAATATTCCAGCTATATGACGGCGGTCTGTAAAATAATCGAGTCTGGACAAGACAATCCAGTGATTGACATCATTGGCATTGATCCATGCAATTGAGATCGATGACATGCATCAACCAAGTCAGCGAGCCTGACCACCCGATTCCGTTGGTCGCCTTTTACAACAAGCATAGTCGCCTTTTACGGCAAGTATGGGTTGCTGAAGACTTATTCTACCCCGGAATCTTCACGGGTCTGTACGTGAGTATGAGAGGAATGCACATACCGGTATGCTACCAGAACTGGCCCTTCTGTTCATCTGTCCGGCACTCCCAAAGAAGTTAGAACTTTGACCATAACATGCAAACCGATATTATCCCTACCCTAAAATGAACAGATACATTGTATACATTTGTTTGTTATGAAGAGAATACTACCTTTGATATGATTATCCTGGATCATAACATGGAAATTGTTCAGATCTTGATGATACATTTGTATCTAGAGAAATACTCTCATGCTGTCTGATTTGCCATCCACACATTTTAAATGCTGACAGTAAAATTACAAAATATTTGCAGTATTACATACAGGTACAATGCAAATGTATATTTTGTCATGATTGCGTAAATATCCAGGTGAGCAATATAGGCCATTTGTTTACAGGATGCCAACATACAGCTGCAATATTGCGGAGTGGCATTATTTGGTATGTTTTTGGTTATTAAAGGGTAGAGAAAACAGTGTGTTGTCTCAATTTCTACATTTTTGAGTCAGCGTGTTTGAATATTTATAGACTGCCATCATCTAGCTGCAATATCACGGAGTGTGGCATTAAACAATGAAACGGATTTGAAGTATGATCTAAGATTATTCCAGTGGGTGTAAGATTTGCAATTGTACCTCGATGACATGGATTGTTGATTACAATACCAATCATGGGATTGTCTGGTCCAGCCTTGATTATTTACTGGCTGCCACCACCACCACCACATAGCTGCAATATTGCTGTGTGTGGCATTAAACAATGAAAACCATAAAGGATGCTGAATCTTCCAAGACGTAGCATGTAAGATTTGCAATTGTACCTCGATGACATGGATTGATCACAATATCAATCACGTGATTGTATATTTTGTCGTGATTGCGTAAATATCCAGGTGAGCAATATAGGCCATGTGGGCCACTTGTTTACAGGATGCCAACATACAGCTGCAATATTGCGGAGTGGCATTATTTGGTATGTTTTTGGTTATTAAAGGGTAGAGAAAACAGTGTGTTGTCTCATTTTCTACATTTTGGAGTCAGCGTGTTTGAATATTTATAGACTGCCATCATCTAGATGCAATATCACGGAGTGTGGCATTAAACAATGTAACGGATTTGAAGTATGATCTAAGATTATTCCAGTTGGTGTAAGATTTGCTATTGTACCTCGATGACATGGATTGATCACAATATCAATCACAGGATTCTATATTTTGTCGTGATTGCGTAAATATCCAGGTGAGCAATGTAGGCCACTTGTTTACAGGATGCCATTATGCAGCTGCAATATTGCGGAGTGGCATTATTTGGTATGTTTTTGGTTATTAAAGGGTAGAGAAAACAGTGTGTTGTCTCATTTTCTACATTTTGGAGTCAGCGTGTTTGAATATTTATAGACTGCCATCATCTAGCTGCAATATTATGGAGTGTGGCATTAAACAATGAAACGGATTTGACATATAATGTAAGATTGTTCCAGTGGAGGCTAAAGAAAACTTGTCAATTTGTATTATTGATCTTAATGTGGTTGGAAATTAATGATGGATCATTAATTTCAGAATCGATCGTTACAGTTGAACTCGATGCACACTCTAAAATACACATTAACAATATATAAATGTTTTCTTTCAAGCACGTATGATTTTACAGTATATCTATCCAACATTCAAGCACTAATGTTACCATAACAGACCAGTGAAGATTCCGGGGTAGAATAGGTCTTCAGCAACCCATGCTTGCCGTAAAAGGCGACCAACGGGATTGGGTGGTCAGGTTCGCTGACTTGGTTGATGCATGTCATCGATCCCAATTGCGTGGATCAATGCTCATGATATTGATCACTGGATTGTCTGGTTCAGACTCGATTATTTTACAGACCGCCCTCATATAGCTGGAATATTGCTGAGTGTGACAAAAATTACCATAACAGGAGGGGTAAAACTCCAGAAATTTGCTTCATAGAATATGCCCTATTGGTATTTGAACCCAAACCTTCAGTGTGATGAGCAAACGCTCTTTAACACAAGGCTACCCCATCGCTCCCAATACATTTTGAAGATGTTAGAATATCATGCAAGATGTTTCAACTTTTATGAAACTAATGTGTTAATATTGCAGGCATATCAGTGGCCTGTAATTAAAGTGTGGAGATAAACACAATAAACAATAAACACTGACGTGGACTTTCAGAATAAAACTGAAACATAATAATTGTCAATTTGAAGAAGGTAATAAAATGGATTCAATATTCTGTATTTGTAATGCATCAGATAATAACATTGAAAAAAAACAACCATGAAATCTTACCACATTCATTGATGTTATATTAATTTAATTACATCACATTAAAATATCTTCATACTGACTGTATGTGGTCTGATATCCTGTTATGTATCATATTGCCCATGACCTAAAAACAATATTCCGATCATAATCAAACACTTGCATTAAACATGTTGAGGTCTAGTGATACCCCCCAAACAGGTTTCATTCTGCCAGTTTTAACCGGGCCGGTGTTAATATCTTGACCAAACCAGACACAAATAATTCTGTTTCGTGGTAAAGTTCGATTGTTGAAATTAAATCTTAATTAGTTGGTATTTACATCTACTGGTCCGACACCCCTGACGATCCGGGGTTGAATGTCTTCAGCAACCCATGCTTGCCATAAAAGGCGACTAACAGGATCGGATGATCAGGCTCGCTGACTTGGTTGATGAACGTCATCATATCCCAATTACGTGCATCGATGCTCATGATGTCAATCACTGGTTTGTCTGGTCCAGACTTGATTATTTACAGACCACCATCATGTAGCTGGAATATGACCGAGTGCGGCGTTAAACTACCAACTTTTATCTTCACTCATTTACAAGTCAAAAGGAATAGGGGCGGGGAGACTAGTATTTCAACTTTTTTTTTTCTGTTTCAGAGATGCCGAGGAAGAACCAGAAGAAGATGCAGAGACGGATGGAGGGGTATCACCTCCCTAAAAATGATGCCGAGGACGCCAACCTCGTTAAAAAAAACTTACGAGTCAATGATACTTTGACCGAGGACGCCAACCTCGTTAAAAAAAATTTACGAGTCAATGATACTTTGACCGAGGACGCCAACCTCGTTAAAAAAAATTTACGAGTCAATGATACTTTGACCGAGGACGCCAACCTCGTTAAAAAAAACTTACGAGTCAATGATACTTTGACCGAGGACGCCAACCTCGTTAAAAAAAATTTAAGAGTCAATGATACTTTGACCGAGGACGCCAACCTCGTTAAAAAAAATTTACGAGTCAATGATACTTTGACCGAGGACGCCAACCTCGTTAAAAATTTTTTACGAGTCAATGATACTTTGACCGAGGACGCCAACCTCGTTAAAAAAAATTTACGAGTCAATGATACTTTGACCGAGGACGCCAACCTCGTTAAAAAAAATTTACGAGTCAATGATACTTTGACCGAGGACGCCAACCTCGTTAAAAAAAACTTACGAGTCAATGATACTTTGACCGAGGACGCCAACCTCGTTAAAAAAAATTTACGAGTCAATGATACTTTGACCGAGGACGCCAACCTCGTTAAAAAAAATTTACGAGTCAATGATACTTTGACCGAGGACGCCAACCTCGTTAAAAAAAATTTACGAGTCAATGATACTTTGACCGAGGACGCCAACCTCGTTAAAAAAAACTTACGAATGAATGATACTGTGACAAACTTGCGAATCAATGATACTTTGACAACTGAGGACACCAACCTCGTTAAAAAAAAGAAAACAATTGCTGATACCAATGATTCTGAAGCCAATGATCGTGAGAGCTATGACCCTGATACACATGATGCTGATATTGATACATATTATACCAATGACGGTGTACAAGGTACTTTCAATCAAGGTCATCCCAGATTTGGAAAAAAACAGTGGTAGACAGTGTGTAGGCAACAGTGCATCTGCAATGTTATTTAACCAAATTAAAGATATTTCCACATGGGACAGCTATGATCTTGACACAGTTCTTTGCACAGGAGACAAACTTTATATAGATTCAATAAGCCAGAGACCATCGACTAGTCGTAGTCCATACCTTCTTGTGTCTGAAATTTGTCCAAAGGTAGACTTCTTTGACAAAGAATATAGATTTGTGTCTGGTGATTCTCTGACTGGCTTTGTGATGAAGGATACTGATGAAAACGTAGCTATTCCACAGCAGATGTGTCTCGATGCTGCTCTTCAAACAGTATTTTCAGAACATGATGCTACTTTTGTGACATTTGGAGGAGCAACATTTGCTGTGATAGAAAGAAATGAGAAATACCACGTGTTTGATTCCCATTCTCGGAACACTGAAGGATTACAAGTCTCTGATGGTACAAGCATCCTTATCCACTACACAAGCCTGCTTCAGGTCTATAAACACTGTTTGAATCTTGCACGCTCAATGAAGCTAACTGCAGAGACACAATTTGAAGTGACAGGCATGAGAATTACCACTGGTTTTGAGGCACATGACATTTCTGTTGACATTTGGTCTGACAACACAAGTGATACCAATGAAAATGATGTAGTGCATATTGATGAACTCAAAGACAACTCGCAGGATGGTAGTGGGGAAATGATTGAGACTGACGAAAGTGCAATGCCATTTCATCAGCCTGATACGGCATGTGAAACCAATGAGAATCAGGTTGCTGTGCATATTGATGAACTTGATGAGAACTCACAAGATGGTAGTGTGGAGATAACTGCAACTGACCAAAATGCGACGCTATTCTGCCCTGTATCATCAGATGTATGTGAAGAGTTGTGCAAAAAACTTCATATTCAACAGAAACATTTATCAAAGTGTCAGGATCACGAGTTTGGCGTGGAAATTGGTAAACCGTGTAGAACAGTATCTATTGAAGGTGATGGCAATTGCTTCTTTAGAAGTCTCTCCTATGCAATCTCTGGCAAAGAAAACAATCACAGGAAAATCAGACTGGCTGTTGTGGCACTGCTAAGAGAACATGCTGAAAACTTCCATGCATTCTTAAGACCAGGTTATGAGTCTGTTGAACAATACATTTCTCAATCAAGAATGTGGTATGTTGGAACATGGGCAACAGAACTAGAAATGCTTGCAGCTGCAAATCTACTTGGCACTGACATTTGCACATTCACTGGTAACAGATGGCTGACGTATTCAAGCGGGCAAATAAACTCGGACACACAAAACACTGGCCAAGGCATATATCTAAATCATGTTGGTGGATCACATTATGAAGTAGTTGTTTGTGTGAACACAGTTGATGCCTTGAGAAACACCTGTACAGACAAATATTGTGACAAACATTTGAATATCAGTGCTTGTACAAGGAGAAAAAGAAATGCTGACCAGTCATCTGTAGATCTGCTGAATGACAGACAATCAGTTTTGAAAAAACAAAAACTTGACAGCACAGCACAGCAAGGACAAACAAAAATAACAAAAGGGAAGTATGGACAGGCAAAAGCTAAAAGAGAATATATGAAAGCCAAAAGAGAATTAAAGAAAGATGAGTCTGAAACATTGAATTTGAATGTAAAACAGAGAAAACTTAGTAAAGAGAAAGAAAAGTACAATACTGACCCTGAATTCAGAAACAAAAAGAAACTGAAAAGTTCAAAGAAATACAAAGAAGATGAAGCACACAGGGAATTTGTAAAAAGCTGCAGCAGTCAGAAATATACTCATGATTCAGAACACCGGGAAGCCGTCAAAACTTACAGCAGTCAGAAATATGCTCATGTTTCAGAACACCAGGAAGCCGTCAAAACTTACAGCAGTCAGAAATATGCTCGTGATTCAGAACACCAGGAAGCCGTCAAAACTTACAGCAGTCAGAAATATGCTCGTGATTCAGAACACCAGGAAGCCGTCAAAACTTACAGCAGTCAGAAATATGCTCATGATTCAGAACACCGGGAAGCCGTCAAAACTTACAGCAGTCAGAAATATGCTCATGATTCAGAACACCAGGAAGCCATCAAAACTTACAGTAGTCAGCAGTATGCTAAAGATCCAAAGCACAAGGAAACTTTGAAATTATACAGTGCAGACAAATATGCTAAAGATGCAGACCACAGGGCAACTAAAAAATACCACAGTACTGAGAAGTATGCAAGAGATACAAAGCACAGAGAAACTGTAAAAACCTATAGTATTGAGAAATATGCAAAGGATACAAAACACAAAGAAACTGTAAAAACCTATAGTACTGAGAAATATGCAAAGGATACAAAACACAAAGAAACTGTAAAAACCTATAGTACTGAGAAATATGCAAAGGATACAAAACACAAAGAAACTGTAAAAACCTATAGTACTGAGAAATATGCAAAGGATACAAAACACAAAGAAACTGTAAAAAACTATAGTATTGAGAAATATGCAAAGGATACAAAACACAAAGAAACTGTAAAAAACTATAGTACTGAGAAATATGCAAAGGATACAAAACACAGAGAAACTGTAAAAACCTATAGTACTGAGAAATATGCAAAGGATACAAAACACAGAGAAACTGTCAAAACCTACAGTACTGAGAAATATGCCAAAGATGCAGTTCACAGGGCGTCTGTTAAATCGGCCAGCATTGCAAAGTACAAAATTAGTGGTGAACACCGAGAGAATTTGAAAGAGAGGCAATCTGCCAGGGTTATGCAAATAACAAGAGAAAGGAAAATAATGAAGAATGTTACGAAATCCTTTGTGGAGAACATTTCTGAAGGTCCCGAATTTGTGTGCTCAGTGTGTCATCGAAGACTTTTCAAAAAACAGGTTGTACAATGTAAAAGGACTGTGTATGAAAGCAAAGGAAGTAATGTAGCATCTGTATCTGAGAAATGCATCACAGACACTTACAAACACAGGTGCACAGACAGTTGTGATGACCAATGTTCATTTGTCAATAGCCCTGAAGGCACATTGTGGATTTGCTATACTTGTCATAGGAAACTTTTGTCTGGCAAAATGCCTGGAGAAGCTGTTGTTAACAACCTTGAACTGACCCCTGTTCCTATGCAACTACAATGTCTCAATGAACTAGAGCAGCACTTGGTTGCCTTGAATATCCCTTTCATGAAAATGATGGCATTACCAAAAGGTGGACAACATGGCGTACATGGACCCGTAGTGTGTGTTCCCTCTAACATTCAGAAAAGCACCAGTATGTTACCGAGATGTGATGTAGATGATCAGATGATCAGAGTGAAACTAAAAAGGAAGATAACTTACAAAGGCCATTATCAATATCAGTTTGTCAACAAGGCTCATGTTAAGAATGCTTTGGAATATCTTCAAACAGCTAACAAATGGTACACAGATGTCAATTTTAATACAGATTGGGTCAATCCCTTGCCAGTTATTGATGAGGAAGATGAAATTATTGATTCTGATACTGACACATTACCTGATCTTGATAAAGACGGCTCAAACACACAATGTAATGAAAATGAAGAGTCTGAGAAAGATCATGGATTACTTATGAATACCTGTCTGCAACCTCTTGATATTGGCCAGGAAGTTCTTGATCAACATTTTGAAAAGATAACCTGTGTTGCACCTGCCGAGGAAAATAATCCTGTCCGACTACTGAAAGACAAAAGCAATGAAGGAAGATCATTTCCAGTACTGTTCCCATCAGGGTCCCCTACATTCCATGATGATCGTGAAGAGAGAATAACACTTGCACGTTATCTACATACACGCCTCATGAATGCTGATCGCCGATTTGCTCAAAACACGGACTACATATTTTACGCACAGTATCTTTCTGAAGTTGAACAAGTTATGTCAAATGTTTCAATTGCACTGAGAAAGGGATCACAGTCACATGGTAGAAATGTTACCTCTGAAAATCTTACAGATTCTGATTCTCTGAGAGAGATATTAAAATGTGATGAAGGCTACAAGTTCTTGAAACCTATCAGAGGAACTCCACCATACTGGCAGTCTGCTCAGAAAGATTTGTTTGCAATGATAAGACAACTCGGTATTCCAACCTGGTTTTGTTCATTTTCATCAGCTGACATGAGATGGCCAGAAATGATTGAAACAATACTCAGAGAAGAAGGTGATAAACGCAAAGCCACTGAACTTGACTGGTCTGAAAAATGTTCTGTACTAAGGAAAAACCCAGTGACAGCAGCCCGAATGTTTGACCAAAGATTCCATTGCTTCTTAAAAGAGGTTATCATGTCTCCAGGAGAACCCATTGGAAAGATAAAAGATTACTTCTATCGTGTAGAATTTCAGCACCGTGGTTCCCCTCACACTCACTGCCTTTTCTGGGTTGACAATGCTCCAAAGATTGATAAAGATAATGATGAGACAGTAACATCTTTCATTGATAAGTATGTCACATGTGAGATGCCTTCAGTTGAGAATGATGAAGAACTGTTTGATATTGTCAACAGTGTACAGAAACATAGTAAAAGACATTCAAAGACTTGCAAAAAAAATGGCACAACCTGCAGATTCAATTTTCCTCGTCCACCAAGCAATGAAACTTTCATATCACAACCTGGAGATCAAGACAATGAACCAAAAAATGATGTGCCCAAAACCCTGGATCAGTGCTGTGAAGATCTAATAAATATGAAAGTGATGACGTTACCAGGTGCTCAAACAATTTTGAAACTGATTTGGCAAGGATTAACAGATGATGAGCAAACATATGATTCGGTTGATGCATTGTTCTCTGCCATTGGTATTTCGCAAGATGTGTTTCAGCTAGCATGTGATACTCTAGCCAAGAAGACAAACATTGTGATGAAACGCAATCCTAATGATGTATGGGTCAATCAGTACAATCCAGATCTGCTCAGATGTTGGAATGCGAACATGGACATTCAGTACGTAGTTGATGCCTACTCTTGTGTTGTCTACATCATTTCATATATCTCAAAGGCAGAAAGAGAAATGGGATTACTGTTAAATCATGCACAAAAGGAAGCAAATAAGGACAACAATGATGCAAAATGTGCTCTGAAGAAACTTGGTGCTGTATACCTACACAATCGAGAAGTGAGTGCTCAGGAAGCTGTCTTTCGAGTTTGCAATTTGAGATTAAAGGAAGGATCACGTAAAGTACAGTTCATTCCAACCGTAGACCCTGTCAGAATGAGTTTGCCTCTGAAAACTTTGAAGAACAAACAACTGAGTGGTGAACTAGATGAAGATGAAATGTGGATGACAAGCATTGTTGATCGATACAAGAGCAGACCCAAAGGTGATGAGTTTGATAACATGTGTCTTGCAACGTTTTGCTCAGAATACAGAGTTGTGTCAAAATCTGAAGTAACCAGAGTTTCTGATGACAAACGGCGAAGTCCATTAGTAACATTGCAAAATGGACTTGGCCATGTGAAAAAACGTACTCGGACTGATGTAGCAGTTATCAGATATGCCAGATTTTCACGTACAAAGAATCCAGAGAAATACTACCACAGTATACTACAGCTATTCTTGCCATACACATTTGATACACAGCTAAAACCAGCCACATTCAGTTCATATGAAGATTTTTATCAAACTGGTGCTGTTCAGATTGAAAACTGTGCTTTGGAACCTGTGAAAGTGATTGTTGACAGAAACAAAGCAATGTTTGAGCAGGATGGTGATGCTATTGATGAAGCAGAGGAATTGTTTGAAAGATCCGGTCAATTGGAAGATGCTTGGGCTCAAATTTGTCCAGAAACTGAATCTGAAAGAATAGAATGTGAAGACGCACATACTCGTATGTCCAATGACGAAAGTGAAACTGAAACTGCTAGAAACATGCCAGATTTGCTACAGACTGATAACACCCTATCAAAAACAGAGGTGCTTCAGAGTACAGTGTCGAGACAAGATGCAGATACTATTCTCAGATCAATGAATGAGGAACAAGCTGAAGTTTTCTATAAAATAAGACAATGGTGTTTGGATAAAAAGAAAGGTAAAAATCCTGAAGCATTTAAGCTTTTTCTGACTGGTGGAGCTGGTACTGGAAAAAGCCATTTGATCAAGGCAATTTGCTATGAATCTACACGACTGCTAGCCCCCATTCAAAACAATCCAGATGATATCTCTGTACTTTTGGTAGCTCCAACTGGTATTGCAGCATTTAACATACATGCATCCACAATACACAGTGCACTCTCAATTGGAATTGATGCAAAACTGCCATACCAGCCACTTGGTGAGGAAAAGATCAATAGTCTGCGAGCAAAGCTGCAAAGTATCCACATACTAATCATAGATGAAATATCAATGGTTGATCACAAGCTGTTATCATACATTCATGGTAGACTGAGACAGATCAAACAAACTGCTGATTATTCACCGTTTGGAAATGTATCTGTAATTGCTGTTGGAGACTTTTATCAGTTATCGCCCGTGAAAGGAACACCATTGTATGTTGGCGTAAATGGATATGACCTGTGGAATGATCATTTTTCTATCGCAGAATTGACCACGATCATGAGACAAAAAGACCCTGCATTTGCACAACTTTTGAATCGATTACGAACACGGAAAAGGTCAGAGATTCTTGAAACAAGTGATATAGTTATGCTCAAACAACGAGAAACTGGTGAAGATGATCCAGATTGCATTCACATTTTTGCAACAAATGCTCAAGTTGACGAATTCAATATCGCTGCTCTACATTCGAAATGCTCAGATCCAATTTTCATTGGGGCACAAGATTTCTCACGAAACATGAAAACAGGGAAACTTGAAAAGAGAGAAAAACCTCATGAGAGAGTTAAAAACTCAGTCTTACAAAAAAGTCTGAGTGTTGCAAATGGTGCTCGTGTGATGATCACAAAAAATATTGATACATCAGATGGTCTTGTGAATGGAGTCTTTGGAACTATTAGCCACATATCTTTGACTGATGGTGAAACATTCCCTTCGAGAATATATGTTGTGTTTGACAATGATGCTGTTGGTCAGAAATTACGAAAGATGAATGGCCCTGTATCTGGATTAGAACCTAACAGTACTCCTATTAAGTCATTAGAAGAAACTGTTTCAAACAATGGAGGTATAAGACGGCAATTTCCACTGAAACTAGCCTGGGCTTGCACCGTACACAAAGTACAGGGAATAACTGTTAACAAAGCTGTCGTTTCATTAGACAAGATATTTGCAGCAGGACAAGCTTATGTGGCACTGAGCCGAGTATCCTCTCTCGATGGACTGATCATTCAGGATTTTAAACAGTCAGTGATATACAGCAGTGGAAAGGTTGAAGCAGCTGTGTCTAGTATGCCAAAGTTCATGACTTCAAATCAGAGAACCTATGATGGTCATCCCACATGTACGTTGATTATGCAAAACATTGAGGGCCTTCACTCGCATATCAAAGATTTGCAGAATGACAAGAGGTTTTTTGAAGCTGATTTCATTTGCTTGACAGAAACATGGTTAACTGATTCATATCCAGCTGATGAAGCAAAACTTGATGGATTTACGTTACATCATATATCCAGATCACAGAGTTATGAATCATCTGAACCAATGCTGATGGAATTGAAGCATCAAAGACATGGCGGTGTTGGAGTTTATTCAAGTGAAGTCAAAACATGTGAATTTACTCACTTACCAGTGTCCAACTTAGAGTACCTGTGTTTTTATGTCATAGAACTACAGGCTCATGTTGTTGTTATCTACAGGCCGAGCTCATACACAGTTGATATTTTCAGAAAGTATTTATTACAACTTATTCAGGAACTTGATAACCATTCTGGTCGATCCATTATCATGGGTGATTTCAATGAAAATATCTTGTCGTCATCTTCAATACAGACAATTATGGAAGCAAATGGTTTTACACAGATGGTTTCAGAACCTACCACTGAAAGTGGAACGCTTATTGACCATGTGTATGCCAGAGGACTTGAGAACGTTTCTGTTCAGATTCTTCCAACATACTTTGGGTACCATGAAGGTATTAAGATCACACTATGAATTTTCCTGCTAAAATAACAGTGACCAAAACAATCCTTACCAGGTCCTTATCTGAAAAGTGCCTATCTTAACGACTTTGTAAATGTTGTTTCAACACCTATTATTGTGCCTATTTGCATTTATATATATGAAATGTCTTTTCTTTGAACAGCAGCTTTTACAGAATATGAATGAATTCTACTAGTATTATCATGGTCACAGACCTGTATTTATATATGATTACTTTTATGCTCATGATGACAGTCACTGGATTGTCTAGTCCAGACTCAATTATTTACAGACCGCAGTCATATAGCTGGAATATTGCTGAGTGTGGTGTTAAACAACAACAAAATATGAATGAATTCTACTTGTTATATCATGATCAGACCTGAAGCTAACATACAAAATACCAACTTCTTGTATAACAAGGAAGATACTTGTTGAAAATTTCATTAATTCTACTGGATGAAACAATGGGATTTAATTGAAGTCCTAATATTGATTGAAAATTCACCGTGATATTTTTATTACAAATATATTTAACTTAACTTGAAGTATGAACATGCATATATCTACTAACTGCTAACTTAAAAACAATTTGTAAATCTTGATTCAATGAAAGAAACTGGACTATTATTGCACTGATCTCTATTTATATATCTTTACAAGTATGAATAAATTGTACTTATATTATCATGATAATAGGCCTAAGGCCAACATACAAAAGTCCAATTTTTTTTACAAGTTAAAAAATTATTGAAAATGTAATATGACTGACTCTACTGGATGTCATATGAACAATAACAAGCATGTTTTATTGACCACACAACACTGTAAATTTGCAGTTTGCAGTGTTCACACCTTATTGCGCGTCCTCAATTGCTCTATATAATACATCTCTTGTACATAATACAACTGCACCTACAATTCATGTTTATATTGTACCTAACTTTAGAAAAAGAGGGGTGAGAAAGGGGTATGTGAGATATCTCCTGATTTGTCCCTGATTGTGGTGACATTGATTAGGGAAGTTGTATATATCTAGGCAGAACTAATGTGTGTGTTTGTGTGTGATTTATATAATATATATATTTAATTTGTATGTGTAAAACATGTTGTTAACATAAGATACTTAATAGTTATATTGTATATATTTTAGCAGACCTACAAAAAAAAAAAAATTCATGTCAGCTTATGGCACATTCTCAATTGCTCTATATAATACATCTTTTGTACTTATTACAACTGCACCTACAATTCATGTATATATTGTACCTACCTTTGGAAAAAGAGCGGTGAGATAGGGGTGTGTGAGATATCTCCTGATTTGTCCCTGATTGTGGTGACATTGATTAGGGAAGTTGTATATATCTAGGCAGAACTAATTTGTGCATTTGTGTGTGATATATATATATGATATATATTTAATATTTATGTGTAAAACATGTTGTTAACATAAGATACTTAATAGTTATGATTCCGGGGCAGAAAAGGTCTTCAGCAACCCATGCTTTCTGTAAAAGGCGACTATGCTTGTCGTAAAAGGCGACTTACGGGATCGGGTGGTCAGGCTCGCTGACTTGGTTGATGCATGTCATTGATCCCAATTGCGTGGATCAATGCTATTGATATTAATCACTGGATTGTCTGGTCCAGACTCGATTATTTACAGACCCCTGTCATTTGGCCAGAATATTGCTGAGTGTGGCGTTAAACAACAAACCAACCAACCAACTAATAGTTATAATGTATATATTTTAGCAGACCTACAAAAAAACAAAACAATTCATGTCAGCTCATGTCACATTCTCAATTGCTCTATATAATACATCTTTTGTACATAATACAACTGCACCTACAATTCATGTATATATTGTACCTAACTTTAGAAAAAGAGGGGTGAGATAGGGGTGTGTGAGATATCTCCTGATTTGTCCCTGATTGTGGTGACATTGATTAGGGAAGTTGTATATATCTAGGCAGAACTAATTTGTGTGTTTGTGTGTGATTTATATAATATATATATTTAATATTTATGTGTAAAACATGTTGTTAACATAAGATACTTAATAGTTATATTGTATATATTTTTGCAGACCTACAAAAAAAAAACAATTCATGTCAGCTTATGGCACATTCTCAATTGCTCTATATAATACATCTTTTGTACTTATTACAACTGCACCTACAATTCATGTATATATTGTACCTAACTTTAGAAAAAGAGGGGTGGTATAGGGGTGTGTGAGATATCTCCTGATTTGTCCCTGATTGTGGTGACATTGATCAGGGAAGTTGTATATATCTAGGCAGAACTAATGTGTGTGTTTGTGTGTGATTTATATAATATATATATTTAATTTTTATGTGTAAAACATGTTGTTATCATAAGATACTTAATAGTTATATTGTATATATTTTAGTAGACCTACAAAAAAAAAAAATTCATGTAAGCTTATGGCACATTCTCAATTGCTCTATATAATACATCTTTGGTACTTATTACAACTGCACCTACAATTCATGTTTATATTGTACCTACCTTTGGAAAAAGAGCGGTGGGATAGGGGTGTGTGAGATATCTCCTGATTTGTCCCTGATTGTGGTGACATTGATTAGGGAAGTTGTATATATCTAGGCAGAACTAATTTGTGCATTTGTGTGTGATATATATATGATATATATTTAATTTTTATGTGTAAAACATGTTGTTAACATAAGATACTTAATAGTTATGATTCCGGGGCAGAAAAGGTCTTCAGCAACCCATGCTTGCTGTAAAAGGCGACTATGCTTGTCGTAAAAGGCGACTTACGGGATCGGGTGGTCAGGCTCGCTGACTTGGTTGATGCATGTCATTGATACCAATTGCGTGGATCGAGTCATGATTTTAATCACTGGATTGTCTGGTCTAGACTCGCTTATTTACAGACTGCTGTCATTTAGCCGGAATATTGCTGAGTGTGGCGTTAAACAACAAACCAACCAACCAACTAATAG